ATTTAAGAGAAGTAAAACAGTGGAGTAATTAATCAGAAATTTTAATCAACACTGAACAGCACACCCATGCTGCACAGGCCCAACCATCCTGAACAACCATACCCGGCTGTACAGATCTAATCTCCAAACCAGGAGCTAAGCAAATTATTACCAGGTATACCATCTATAAATATTGTGAGAGGTGTGAGACTAATCACGAAAAACATTGCTCAACTCGCCCATAACCGCGGGCACGGCTATTCGAATAGTTTTACTCTGGCCAGAGGTGTACCACTGTACCCACAAGACACAACCCCACATCATGTCACCATGTGCCTCAATACCACCACGGTACCTCGGAAAGGAGTTGTGACAATACCCCTAGCACAACATAACCCATTACAGCGCACCTTTCCTGGATCATAATCACCCCCTTATAAACAAGGCATGGACTCCCCAGCGACCCCCGTGGACTTCTCGCCACTTCTCAGTCTGGCGCACTATAATGAATCACGCTATACAAAAGATAAAGCCGTTGCCCATGCTGGCTTGTGGTTGGCACGATAAATGTTTCACAACAGTAGCTCGCGAACCGGTCCTTAATTGTCATGAGCACGACTCTCAAAACCATGTGCTCACAACCCACCATTATCAAGTTTTAGTTGGCGAGTAATTAATTAACCAATCACGATTGACCATCGTGAACTATTATTAAGCCATCATTAAATAATAGTAAGTCATAAGTTATCCCAATAGTGTGCTAATGTTTCTAAGCACGGCTAAGCAACTATAAATAACATCTAGCTGAACCAATCCAATATATAAGGTCCATGCTAGTCAAATTATAACCCATAGGAAAATAAAGTCATCTTCGGCCATAATTAAATGGGAAAGGCTCACCACCCAATGACATTCGAAAACAATGCATAAGTTGAAATAAATCAATAGCTTTAAACAGGTTCAACATGCTCAAAGGGTTGTTTGGGATCTGTGTGACTTGCCTTGCAATAATCGGTCTTCAATTAATCTTCTGAACACTCCCGACGCACTCACGAACCTTCGCAACGACGAAAACGACAAGCTAACACGCAAAACGAAGAAAAAGACTAATAAAAACCAAATAAACAATACATAAAAAGTAAACCAACATGTAGATCATGATTTTAGATGAATTTAGCAACTTGAACCACTCAAAACCGAGTTACGATGATTTAATTATGAATTCCGAAGATTTAATCTATTAGAAAAACAGGAAAAAGAAAAACGATGATGACGTCATGATGACCTCATCAATGGCCGGACCAAGATGGCGACCTCGCCGGAGATTGGATGGTCGGCTGTGACTTTGGAGGACATGTACACGTAGAGGACGACGAGACGAACCCAACGGTACTCACCCTCGAACCAAACGACGAACGACGACGGCCGGCGACGAGGTCTAGCGGCGGCGCGGCTTCGGTCGACGGCGGCGACGGGGCTCCGGTGATCAGCGGCTTTGGGGGTCAGGCGACCGGGCTTCTCCACCCTCCCGCGCACCTTACGGCGGTGACGGCGACCGGCGGCGACGACGGAGGCGGCGGCACGACGCGGATGGAGCTCGGCCGGCGACGACGGCGGGGCGGAGCACGTGGCGGCGGCGCTACGAGGCACGGGAGACCACGGGAGAGGGGGCAAACGAAAGAGGAGGACTAGGGGGTCCTATTTATAGCCTTGGATTGAAGAGATCGGACTCCTCCCGCAAGAAATCGATCCGGGAAATCAAAAACTCGGTTTTGGAGATAAACTCGAAAACGAGCTCGATTCGGATAAGATACTCAACGGTTTGCTCCGATTCTTGGGGGAGAGGATAGAGGAGGATAAGAGGAATATTTCCCCTCAACTAATTTTGCAAACGGAGCTCCGGATGTGGCGAATTTAACGGAGGAAGCGGTGGCTGCACAGGGCACAGCACGGGCGGCTCGGCTCTGTCCAAGCTTGAAGATGAACAGTGCCAGGGAGGCAAACTAGACTTTCGGCTGGGCTTCTACTTCCAAGGACTGATTAAAGGAGGGACACAAAGCAGACTTCGGGAAAGAGAGAAAAAGGGCTGCAGGCTGAGAGGAGACTGGGCCGAGAGTGAGAGGACTTTTCCTAATTCGGCCCGAAAAGGAAAAGGTGAACTTTAATTACTTTTCCAATTAAATTAATCAATGAAATGATCTTTGAATTGTTAAAAATACTTCCTATGCTCAAATAATTCCAAGAAAAATCTTGAAAATACTTGGACACTCAAAGTACTTAACAAAATTATAATTAGACCATTTAATGATTAATTTAATATGTGGGTAATTACTGAAATGCTCTTTGTATGATTAAAAATTAGGAATTGAGCTCCGAAAAATCCGAGAATATTCCAGAGAGTATAATTAACCATGGGGAATTTAATAATAATTAAATCCATCCATGCTTTATATTTAGGAAATTTTATTTCCCACATTTAACTTCACTTGTAAATTAATGAACATTTAATATAAATTCCGATAATAATTTATTAAATAATTTATAAATCCTGAAACGAAAATCAGGGTGTGACAGTCCTCAACATAACGCAACATGTCTTACTGCAAATCGTGATCCGCACCAACCATTTCACCACCCAATGGAGAAGGTACAAACATGTCATGCTCATCTTCATCTTCTAATTTTGTGCACCACTTCTGTCTGCAGCTGCAACATCATCGACTGATTCTTGCTCTCCGATCCATTCTTCACCCAACATGTGTAGTCATCCATGAATCATCGACGTATCAGATGAGTGTGTACGTCGAATCCACTATCAAGCATAATCTCATTTCTACAATATGTACATGGACAACACGTGTAATCGCAGTTTCTTCTTTTCATGTCCTCCTCTGCGGCATTTATAAAATTTGAAATGCCACTTCTATACTCTTTGCTATGTCGTCGCACAGTTCCATACATCCAACTTCGATCCATTGTTGCAAAAGTGAATAAGTATTAGATAATAATTTTTGTAAGATAAGTATTACTAAATTTATGGGAATTGTTTACTATTTTTTGATTACTTTTTTGAATTTTCTGTTTTCTTTGAAAAAAAGACAAAAATTCACCTCCAACACCTCCCACCAAAATAGTGAACAGTGAGATAACCATTCCTTAGACGGCTGGAGTATTTATAGTGTGCAATAGATATCAGTAACGCCCAACGAACGGACACCGGTGATGGGCTTTTAGTTATCTCAATCGGACCTAATATTGAGCCTGTCACAGATGGTTGTCATCGATGATGAGCGCAATATAGGGGGGTGACAAAGATTACAAAGATAATCTTTGTCGGGCCTAAACATAAGCCCGTCACCTATAGGTGTCATCGGTGAGCTCGAAATACATGCATATGGATAATGTTTGTACGAGTATATCTTTGTCAGTATTTATTTTGACCCGTTAGAGATGACAATGTTGTGACGGTCTGCAAGCCCCTGGCATAGGAAAGGCCGTTACAGATAAGAAGTCTGTAGTAGTGTCCCTCCCGAGCCTCCGCTTCTGCCTCCCTCCCTCCTTCTCGGCGCCCCTATCTCTCCCCCTCCCCCGCAGCCCCTCTTTTCCCTGGCGCCCCTCCTCTCCCACCTCCGTCCTTCCCTCCTAGCACCCCCCTCCATCTCTCCCTCGCTGCACACGCTCCCCCTCTCCCTTGGCATCTCATCTCACTGGCGCCCCTTCTCTCCCATGTGTTCCCTCCCTCTTGCGCATTCAAGAAAAACATAACCTCCTCGTTCGGGAACACGTTTTGACTTACTCACTCTGTCGTGTTCACCACAGGAGCTCACCATTGCCATTTCTCTCTATTGGGACTATGTTGTTGCTTGCTGCGTTCCCATTGTTCTGGTTTTCTTCATTGCCAACTGCTACCATCTATGGATGAGTCACATTGTGGGACATGTCCGGCTACCTTACTCACTACCGTTTGGTTACTGGAGCACCGTCACCCATCTTCCTTCCTCTTCTATTTCTTATGTTAACTAGGGAAGACAATAAATAGTATTAGTCAGGTTTCCCCGTGTGTACAAGGAAAACATAATCCTCTCGTCCGGGAACATGTTTTGATGCACTCATCCGGTCGTGTCACTACTAGAGCTTGTCTTTGTCATTTCTCTCTCTATCGGGACCACCTCGTTGCCCCCAGTGTCCCTCTTGTTCTGGTTTTCTTCATTGCCAACCTTCAGCATCTATGGATGAGTCATATCGTGGGACATGTCCTACTACATTCCTCACCGTCATTTGGTCGCCGGAGCACCGGCGCCCATCTTCCCTCCTCTTTGTTTCGCCTTGAGCTAAGGAAGACAATGAACAGTGCCTGTTGGGTATTATCCGTTCTTGGTCTAGCCCAATCATACTCCGGACCACTCACATAACATTAAGACCATAGAAGTATGAATAGAATATGAAAATTCTAATTTATATCAATGAAACATACACCCGTTCAAAATTCTAATTTATGTAGGCTAAAAGAAGTTTTTTCAGTTTCTAGCTAATGTCCCTTTCCCAGTAGTGTCACGATGACTAAGCTTGCCACAACAGCTAAAATCAGGTTTAATACTGTCTAGGATATTCTCAGATGACTCGGTTTTGTAAATTGAGGGACTTAGTTATATCATTTTGGTTACAGACTTATTTCAAACTTGGAGACAGTAAAGGTGGACCGAATGTGAACTTATTCAAAATGAAATAGACCTCGATTGGGCCGTTACCTAGATTTGTGGAAACGGTCTATCAAAGCTACAGACAGGAAAGAGAGCCTTCATGCTAAACCTAAGGCCCGAGTTAGATTAGTAGGCTTTCTCATTCCGTGCGCACACTTGCGAGATTGTTCGTGTTCTTGTGACAACTTGACACTCAAATTCAACTATCAGTTGGTTGTCAGACCAGCATTCTACTACTGGACTCGTCATGGAAGGAGACAAAAGGAGAGATGGAATAATTCACAGTACAGTAGTCGTCACTTCACTTCCTTGGAAAATATCTAGTCAACTTTCGTAAATGTGTAATTGTAAACATTCATCTTTCTCTCGAAAGGGAAAGCAAAAAGGAAACAAAAACTTTGCGTTCATAATGTACAGTGCAGTACGTACGTGCTAGCTAGCTACTGATATTTACATGCAACGACAGTTCACTACCGTCACGCCTCTTCTTCTAGCCGAGGCCTCTCTATGGCCTTCAAACTACTACACGCCAAAATTTGCCGCTTTTAGCTCAACACAAAACCGGCCGGCCCGTTCGGTATAAAAACACATACAAGGCCAGCTTATCAAACAAAGCAAAAAAAAAAAAAAAAAAGGTAAAAAGGGTTCTTCTAGAAGCAGCTAGAACTAGAAGGGCGCCGTGGCGACGTCTTTCTCGACGGCCGAAGATGAACGGCGACGGCGGCGACGGCCGCCGCCATGGTGGCGGCAGTACGACTTGCCGGCGTAGTCATCGTGGAAGCATCCGATGTCGAGGTCGTCGTCCGACGACGAGTCCGCCGCCATCGTGGAGCTCTTCCTGCCGCCGCCGCCGCAGCCGGCGGCGAGGTGCACCGGCTTGAGGCCCTCGGTGAAGATCCGGATGGCCTCCTCCGCCGGCTTCGTGCTCAGCACGTACAGCGCCGCCTCCTGTAAAAAATTCTGATTAATTAATTTTCTGAATATAATTGAGGATTAATATCCTCTCCGTTTCACAATGTAAGTTATTCTAGCATTTCTCATATTCATATTGATGTTAATGAATCTAAACATATATATATCTATCTAAATTTATTAACATTAATATAAATATGAGAAATACTAGAATGACTTACATTGTGAAACGGAGGAAATAGTATTTTACTATACTACACTAGTTAATGAATGGGAGAATAGCTAATATGGTCCCTGAAGTTTCGCTTCGGGCTTAGTTTAGTCCTTGAGGTTTCAAAACGTCCAAACAAGTCCTCCAAATTAATTATTTGGGTTAACGTAGTCCTTGGACCCACAAAAAATGCCACGTGAGCATGCCAAGTCATTCTTGCATACAACAATACAAATGAAATGACCATTCTACCCTTACCATATAAAAAAAGAAAAGAAAAAAATAAAGGAAAAAAAAGGAAACAACAGAGGAACGAACAAAAAGACCGGACCATTACTCTATCTGTTGTGTCTTTTTTTTCTTTTCTTTCTTTTTTATATGGTAAGGGTAGAATGGTCATTTCATTTGTATTGTTGCATGCAAGAATGACTTGGCATGCTTATGTAGCATTTTTTTTTGTCCAAAGACTATGTTAACCCAAATGATTAATTTGGAGGACTTATTTGGACGTTTTGAAACCTCAAGGACTAAACTGAGCCCGAAGCGAAACTTCAGGGACCATATTAGCTATTCTCCCTTATGAATTACTGGTATAACAAAACTACTCTTTACATAAATTGAATATGTGATGTAAGCATGCTGATGTTGTACGTGCTCCGTACAAGCCAGGTAAACATACGTGGGAAGGGATAATAAATACTGAGATGTATGTATATATGTTGGCGTACACGTACACATATTGACATATACATGCAATGTACACGTACGCAAGGAGGTGCTACTAGCTGTCTAGCTATAGTCGTAGAAGAACATGCTCCCTTCGTCTCACGAAAGACTCCAATTTTTAGTTTTTTATATAACATTTGACTCTTTATTTTATTTAAAAGTTTTGTATGAATAATATTTTTATTATTATTAGATGATACAATATAAATATTTCTTATACACTGACTGATTTTTTTTTATTTTTTTTATAAAATATACTGTATAAGATGAAAGATTACTACCAAGTGTGTAATTAAGATGGCTTAAGATGCAGGTCGCTATCACAACATCCGTTGTGCGAGACGGGTAACATGAGGCAGTACACGTCTTCAGTGTATTCCGTTGCGTGACGGTGACCCGCGTTACATCATGGGACAGCACAACAGTGGCGTCGCTGCACCGTTACGTAAGCGGCTACGTTGTTGCCTCATTATTACCACCGCTGCCATTGCCCCCTCCCTTTTTTTTTCCTTGCGTGCACCGTGTCGACGTCATGTAACATTAGCACGTACTCCAGCTAAATATAACCGAGTATATGCACATGAATATTGAATAATGCCATGTACCGATAATTGTTGTGTGCAAAAGTAGTAGTTTATTTATAACCAGAACTTTTTTTAAAAAAATAATGCATGATATATATATATATATATATATATATATAGCTATATTTTTTAAAAAAGGTGTTAGTCGATTCCAGGGTATATATGCATGCATTTTGTGGACGGTAGAAATTAAGGTTAATTAATTTGAGTTTGGAAGGTCATCACCGGCCACAACAGAAAAGAGTAGATAAGTGGAAGTACAGGTTAGTAGGCGTGGCCTAATTGAACAGGTTCAGGAACAGTGCCGGTGACGGTGAGAGACCCACCAACGATATTTAGCCACAAGTGTAACGAATTTATCTTAATATATACTCTGAATATATAGCTGGTTTTGACACTATTGATTCGTGTCAAAAATGATTTAGTTGCTTTCTTCGTAACCAATCAATAGTGCAAATAAATGATGGATGTGTAGTATCTCAAATTAATTTATTTTGTTGCACTTCACATTTGACGAAGTATATATATATATATATATGTCTATATGCTTCTCAGAAGGTAAGTTTGAAATTAAATGGCTAATGTATCTGTTATACTCCTATATGCATGAAACAAACATGAAAGATTGAAAAACAAAAACCCTGTGTGCAACGAATTAATCTGAAGTTTGGTGAAGGTCCAAGCGGAGCAAAATTGTGTTACTCCAACAGTGCAAATTAATTAAGGGATGATTTATCAATTCGGTGTTTGTAAGGCCTAATTCATCGATCGGAAGTGCAAATTCGCTTTGAAATTGCAAGGGCCGGCCAGGTTATGGGATGAGGCGCGCTCGGTGTGTGAATTCGGAATGAAAAGAAAAGAAAAGGAAAAGAAAGAGAGAGAGAAGAACATTCGAAATCCAATGGTATCATGTAGCTAGCGGTAGATATACGTCGTATATATACATGTATATATATACATACCCTTGCGAACTTGAGCTGGTCGAGGGTGAGAGTCTTGGGCTCCATCTCTATCGACGCCATCCTCCCCGTCGCTTCCACCTTCGCCTTCTCATCCGCTACCATCTCCGGCGCCATAGACGACGTCGTATATGTATACGTATCCCCTTCTGTCGAGTCGCGTATATTCCACCGTATATACGCGCGTAGATGCTCGAGGCAAATACGTATATAGGTACGCCTCCGCGCGCGCGCGCTGCTTTTGTACTTGGGAAAAAACGAAACGAGACGAGCGAGGCGATGAGAGGAGGAGAGGTGACATCCACGAGTTGGGCTATTTATACCCGAGCACTAGCTCTCACGGTGGGTGGGGAGGAGCAGAGTACACGCGTCGCGCTGCGACGGGCTCGGGGCCGGTTCACACGTGGCGAGCAGCCCGTGGCGGCGGGATGCCACGTGGCGATGCAGGCGCGGGACGGGATCCCCGACGGACCGATCGATCGAGTCGGGCGGGGCGGCCCCTCCCCTGCGGTGCGGGTCGGCCCGCGACACGACACGTCGACGTGCCGTGTAGAGAGGTTGTACGTACTATAGTTGCGGGTCGTGGGCGTGGCTACCAATGAGGGGTCGCCACGTTGGTCGGTGGATCGATCGTGTCGGTCTCGGGTCGGAAGTCTGTTACGCCGGCGGCCGGGCCGGGCGCGCCGGTGCATCACGTCCCTTCGGATATTGCGTACGGATGGAGGGTAACTAGAGTTAAGGCGACTACGTGTTGGAAGTTTCGTGTACGTAGAGAGTGTATACATTCTACCTCCACATTTTGATGTATGACGCCGTTGACTTTTTGTCCAACATTTGACTATTCGTTTTATTTAAAAAAAAATTTATGTAATTATCATTTATTTTATTATGACTAGCAAAAGTGCCCGTGCGTTGTACCGGGTGATTACGGAGTGTGTATATTGACCAAAAGTGTTGTTTGGTCTAGCAAAAGTGCCTGTGTGTTACAATGTGAAGCGTACAGATTAGAAAAATATGCAATTAATTAAAATACAAATTCGCTGAAATATTTGGTATTTTTAAGTAGGTATGTGTATAATTAAATAAATTTACAAGTAAAGCAAGTGTGAGAAATAAAATGACATGGTTAAATTTAATTTTTTTTTAAATTCTCCATGATTAGTTACGCTCTTTGAAATTATATTTGAATTTTTCAGAGCTTAATTGTTAATTTTATTAATACAAACGTCATTTAACAATTATTTACTTGGAAAAAGAAAGAAAATACTTCCTTTTAGGTTTGCTTTGAAATAAACACATTCAATAACTTATAATTGTAATGCTTCTGAAAAAATAAGCACTAAAAATGAACTTATTCTATTTTTTTCGGCCCGAGGGACCTAAAATAGACTTATTTCCGGCCCTTGCCGGTCGGTCCACGGCCTTTTGTGCACGCGCAAGTGCACTCCCCTCCCCAGGCCACAACCTGGGCTTGGGCCGGAAAAATGGCCTCACTCTCGATCCCTCTTGGGCTGATTTTAGCCTGGACGACACCGATCGTCCGATCTTTAGGGTTTTGATCGGACGGCCGAGCGTCGATATCGGGGAAACAAAACCCCTCCCTCTCCTTAGCCGCCAAAACCCTAGCCCATTTCCCTCCCTCCCATCTCACATCGCCGCCCTCCCCTCCGCGCCCCCGAGCGGCGGCGACGGCGCCCCTCTTCCCGCGAGTGGCGGCGGCGGCGCCCTCCCCCACAACCGACGGGGCGGCGCCCTCTCCCCGAACAACGGCGGCGTGGAGGCGGCTGCGGCCCGGCGGGGGTGGGAGGGGCGGCGGGCCGGACCTCGCCTCCGCCAGATCTGGCGGCATGGAAGCGGCTGTGGTCCGGCGAAGGCAGGAGAGGCGGCGGCGTCGTTTCTTTCTCTCTCTCTCTCTGTGCATGGTGGGGAGGTGCGGCGGTGGTGGTGGTGGCGGACGTCATGGAACGCCGGTCGGGCCTTGCCTCCGCCAGATCCGGCGGTGTGGAGGCGGCTGCAGCCCGGCGGGGGTGGGAGGGGCGGCGGGCCGGACCTCGCCTCCGCCAGATCCGGCGGCATGGAGGCGGCTGCGGTCCGACGGGGGCGGGAGAGGTGGCGGCGTCGTCTCTTTCTCTCTCTCTCTGTGAATGGTGTCGGTGGAGATTCATATGTTCTTGGTTGAAAGTTTTGTTATGTGTGTTATTGATGGAATGTTTCATGCGTGTTCTTGATGAATTTCGACTGGGACTTTTCTTGGGGGGCGGACAAAAAATCCCCGCATTTGGTTGTGCTGATTTTGAGAATTGTTTCCCTTGTATCCGATTCTGAGAGGGATTGGGATTCGGGGGCTGCGGGCGAAGGCGCACCGCGAGGGACGAAGGCGCCCTTCGTCCGACTTGTGACAACCGGAAAAATCCAAATATTTATATTAGTTATAGATATGGTTTAGTTAAGATGAAATTCACTGCGTTAAATTCACTTGGATATATATTTGGTTAGAAAATCATGAGATATAAGTAGGAGTCCGATCGTCTGAAATTAGCATGCGAGTTTTTTAAAGAGATTTCTTATACGATTCCTTCTGTATTTTTAAAAGTGAACGAACTTAAAAAAATGACTCAAATACGGACTTGTATTTCCAAAAGCGAACGGATTTAAAAACCGACCCATACACGGATGCAAAAACATCTTTAATTTATATATATATTTTTTTAAAATACGGTAGAAGTTTTTTGCTTTTTTTTTTGTTTTTTCTCGGCATTTTTTCTCCACCGGGGAGTCGGACTTTTTGACGCCTTTTTTTTTCGCGATCGAAGTTTTTTTTTTCTTTTTTTTTGTTTTTCCTCTCACTTTTTTTTACCACTGGATGAGTCGGACCTTTTTTTTTCCGAGTGAAGTTTTTTTTTGTCGCTCTTTTTTTCTCAACGGACGACGGAAGCAGGTTTTACTTTTTAAGTAGTAGTAGACTTGATTCGTCATCAAATGTTCTTTAAGCATGGCATAAATATTTTCATATTTGCACAAAAATTTTGAATAAAACGAATGGTCAAACGTTAGTCGAAAAGTCAACGGCGTCATACATTAAAATACAGAGGGAGTACTACGTATGTACGTGTTGCCTGGTTACGTGCCGGCCATCAGATTAATTAATTATATATAACTGCGTGCGTTAAACAAACGTGCACATGGTGGTGGTGCAGCAAAAATCGATTTTGTGTGCTGGTCCTTGTGTGCACGTAACGTACCTGCTGTGAGCAATATCGTCAAAAGAAATTTGAGAAGTGTGAGATCGATCTCTTGCAATTGCATGCATGCACGAGCTAGCTAGTAGTATTGGGCATGTGCAAGGGGCGGCCGGGTGGTGTCACCTGCTGGAGTATGGGTTGTGGTGGCCGTCGTTGGAGTTGTGGAGGGGAGGGCGTCCACGTACGAGGGGGGGAGGGAGGCTGTTCCCGGGCGCCACGTCCGCGCAGCCTGGGATCGTCGCGCGATCGCCCGACAGTGACCAGGATCTTCCTTCTTTCTCGGAATTCTCTGTCGTCGTCGTCGATATCGCTCTGCTGTCTAACCTAGCTCAACCCTCCCTCCCAGCAGGGACCCAAACTGGTCGTCAGAGGTCAGGTCGGGCCGCTCTATGATTGAATACTACTCTACCAGTATCTGTATGTATGATACTAGGGCTGGACAAATAGCTCGAGCTCGTGAACTCGGCTCAAGCTCGGCTCGGGCTCGCCTGGCTCGGCTCGGCTCGAATCCTGAACGAGCCGAGCCCGAGCCTGGGTTTTAGCTCGTTTGTGAACCGAGCCGAGCCCGAGCCAGCTCGCGAGCAGCTCACGAGCTTAGTAGGCTCGGTTTGAATAGAAAGACTTCTGGCCGAAAACCAAAAAAGCCCATCAATTTGTTATATGTTGGCTGCATACAATATACCTAATTATCTTTGTAGGGACTTGAGAGTTATTATCTGAATAACCAAGTCATTGCAAAGCAACACAACTGCTACTGGCAATACAACTGCTGCTATTGCAAAGCTCACGAGCCAGACCACGAGCCGAGCCGAGCCTAATGTACAGCTCGGTTGGAGAACCGAGCCGAGCCAAGCCGAGCCTGGCATTTCACGAGCTTCCACGAGCCGAGCCGAGCCATACTCAGTTCCAAAAAAAAAATACTAACGACCCAAGAAGAATTCAATAAATCTAAATAACACTTTCTTAAATTCGTTATAATAGATTATGTCTTATCCTTTCTTATGTCGCCACATGAAGATCAGACCTTATCGGTCTCGGAGTTGGACATGGCGCCATCCATAGTGCTCGCCAGCAGCCAACTCGGTTCGATCGGAGTCCGATGAGGGGAGGGGGAGTGAGGATTGAAGGAATTTTGGAGAGATTTATTTTACTTAGCGGATCTGAGGATGTTTAGTGTAAAAGTTAGACTTGGATGTATATTGATAACATATCACGACTGAAATTCAACATACTAGAAACTAACATGCATATTTAAGGTATCTCTTGAAGCAATTTGCATTGTGGGAGTGAAAAAATTTTGATGGTATGGTTTCAGCCTATGTGGCATTTGAGACCACTCAAATGAGGAGCTTTGCACTGAGAATGGTCCTTCTCTTCCTTCTTCCACCGGTGGCTCACGACAGTTGCCACCACATACTAGTACTACGTACTTCTTTATGTGAAGCTCCACCAATAAGGTAAGAACTGCATGTAATTTTAGCTGTTCATTTTTGTGATCAACTTGCTCAGATCTAGCGCAAGTACATCTCACTTGTCTGGCCCGTTTGATTTGTTAAAAACTGATACTGTCTACTTCCACCGTTTCACAATGTAAGTTAGATATCTAGATTCATTGACATCAATATGAATGTGGGAAATGTTAAAATGACTTACATTGTGAAACTGACATCAATATGAATGTGGAAAATGTTAGAATGACTTATATTGTGAAACGGAGGGAGTACTAATTAACCACACCAAAAGGTTTTGTTTCTTATGACTGTTGTTTCAAGTGATGTATCGGAGATTTTATAGGTCCTTAACTCTCTATAATGTGAATATAATGAGTTTTAAGGAGCTCTACAAAATTAACTCATCGCTCAAAGAAGAGTTAATTTGCTAATGGAATTTATGGGGACTCGTGTAGTTCGTTGAAATTCACTGCAGCTAGATGGAGTTGTTTCTGTTAATGCACGAATCTCAAGGCAAACAAAAATTAATGTATCAAAAAGTTAACCTTAAGACAATATATTTATAAAGTGAGCCATATATATTATGAGAAATA